TTCAGCTTTGTCCTGTGTTTCACTGTCTCTTCTTGCCATTTTACTCCAAAGGTGGCAAATGTCAAACTCCTACAGTCTCCTCAGTTCTCCTCAAACGTTCTTGTCACATGCACAGTGAAGTTGCTTGTTGGAAACACAGTGCCATTCATCCAATCAGGCAGGATGATGGGTTTGCTCTTCTTCTCTGATGCTGTTTGTCCACACTGCTGCTGCTTGCTGGGTCTCTTTGCTCAGGACTTTGCTGCTGTCTCTTCATCTGCCATGCTATTGCTCTTTGAAGCTGCATTCCTTGTCTTCAGGGAGGAGTGAGAGCTCGCTTGTGAGTTTGAGAGACACACGGTGCTGTAAATAAGTCAGTCAGAAAGTTGGCCTGAATGTTTCCAATGATGTTAACCTATAACTTTCTTCCGACCGCTGCATGTGGAAAATTGATTCAGGTCTGCTTTTCACCTGAAAGTGACAAACTAAAACATTTTCATTATTATCCTCACTGCTTAATCAACACACATCTCTCTCTCTCTGTTTTTGTGAACAGTCCTTTCTTAAAAGCAGAAAATGAGATTGTAGTTGTTCTTGGCTGATCAACACAAACCCTTTTTCCTATAATTATTTTTCATCTACAATGTAAATTTTGTCTCTTTTTCCTCTTTTTTTTTTCTTTACAATAGCTGGTGACCTGCAGAATCACCGCTCTCACAATCAGAGGCAATTACTTTTACACAGCGCACAAAAACACTGTGACGTCAGACACATTCACACTCACTTTTTTCATGTGCATAAATAAATCATATGGCTGATGATATGTGCCATGGTGATCCATGAGTATGATCACAAGTTTATTTTTTTTTCAACCCAACAAAACAAATAACAAAAACATGATGCCGATGCTATGAACACTCTACACACATGAGTCAAGATGCAGGAAAACTGCTCACGGAAACGCTGCACACTCCAGTTATCACAGTTATCATAGTTCTGTTTCCCTCTCTTTGAGGAGTTCTCAGCCAGCTCTTGATCTGATAATGTGTAGCTTGCTCATCAGCTCAGAAAAGTGGTTGCATGCTTTGCCCACAGTGGCAAAATCTTGCACTTTCATATTCAATTCAGCTTCTCCATCATGTACTTTTAGATGTTTCATACAGGGTTCAGCATATTAGTTATTTTCACAGGTGTGCTCTATATCTCAACAATGGCTCATATTAAGACGACAGTCTTTCAAACAGGTCAAGTGCCTCTATGCACATCATTAGTTAAAATATTTACCTATTTTACTTC